GAATATTTTATTCCTTAATGATTTAGTCACAGGCATGGGCATATCATAAAAAACAGTATTTACTAAAATATCTCTGAAATAAATTCACTATATTTATGCTAACCATGAAAGAGACCCAAAGCCAAGTAGATGTTTGTTCTGTACAATAATAACAGCAATGAAAACTATAGAATGGCTACTGTATGTCAGTCTATGTATTCTACATACCTTCTCTCTTTAATCCTCACATTAGTTCTAGGAAGCAGGTAATATTATTTTCCCTTTGCTTTACCTGAGGAACCTGAGACTATAGAGGTGAAATGACTTGCTGAAAATTTCACTTCAGATAAATGAGAGTCAGAATTCAAATCCATATCTACTTAATTTCAAAGCAAGAAGTTTACAAGCACTCTTCCACATGGTTTCAATTCAACTCTATTCCCTGCTGACTGAATATATTACCTATACTTTTCAGTTCATTGCTTTGTCCCAGGCTTCAGGTCACGTAATGCTTGTGAGAAATGAAAGACTCCCAGAAATGACCATCCACGTAAGACTTTCCCTAAACTAAAGCTTTCTTATTTCTCTTAATGAACAATAAACAAATTATTAATATTTAGTCTTTTTGCCCTAACCCTGCAATAAACATATAAGATGAGACATACTATTATCAACTATTTGTTAGAAAATGAAAGGATGAGCAAATGCAGAAAAGGTGGTAGAAGGTTTAAAAAAAAAGGGAAGAGCAATCGTTCATTTGAAATTGGAAAGAGAATATATTTATTCGATGGTCATGAACAAAGCTTGCATACAGTCCTTTCTGCATTCAGTCATCAAGTCTGTCACTTCCCACCACTGTGGGTCAATCTATTCATCTATAAATACCCAAACCACTAAGGTTTAAATACTATTCATATTGCAAGTTGAATTCCCTTGTGATATGCAAGAGACATAACTGTCCAGACTTTAAAATATTTTAGTAGTTGAACATGGAAACAATTATATATTAGGGTTTTCTGCCACCAAGTGGTAATAATGCTTGTTTGCACCACTGGATAAATTTACTCTTACATTCTAATTCTCGGCATCATTTAACATTTAATAGTTTAATATTTCCTATGATGTATTAGAAACTGACTAGAAATTCATTTTGCTGAAAAGATATGTTATAACTGCATCTTAAGTTTATTATTTCAGACTTCGAGCAGAATCAGTCATTTGAATGGAATATATATATATATATATATATATATATATATATA